GTGAGTTATTTTATAAATTGATGTATATCTTTAGAGAAAACAAATGTGATGGGATTAAACATAATTCTCGTCGTTAAACGTGGAATTTAGTTTTTGCATTTAAAATTCGACATCCTTGGAAGATTGACTTGGTTCACCAACAATAACGTTCTGTAATTTTTCTTTAATTGTAATATATTTTTAAGCGTAAAATTTATACTTAGTTATACTGAAGAAGACTCTGTGTAGCCGAAACGTTTATAGTTGATAATTACTGATATGTAAAATTATATTAAATATAATTACTTAACACCTTACATTGCACGTTATTTAGTCGTTTAAATTGATTTATTTTGCATTGCATACTTCGAGCGTTTATTTATATTAGTTATAATTATTGTCATTGCTATATTGATTTGTAAACGAGATCCATATGCTAATATTGGAAATCTACATTTCCAAAGACCAAATGTGTGTTCTACTCTAATTTTTGTTCTAATATGTGATTCATTACATAATTGTTGAGTAGGGCTTTGAGGATTTAATAATGGTGTAAATAAATAAAGTCTTATAGGGTATGCACTATCACCTAAAACAGAAAAATTCATTATAACTGTATAAATAAATAAATAGTCAGTTATGCTAAAATAAAAAAACTCACATAACATAAATCATATATTATTTTATATAATTAAAATCATATAGTATCTAATATAATTGTAATTACATACCTAATAATAAGCAGTTGTGAAAGTGATTTTTGTTTCAAAAAGCATTTTTAAATTACTATTTTGAAATATTGTTGAATCATGAACAGAGCCGGGTCATTGAGCTACAATATCTATTATTTCATTATCTGCATTTATCACAACTTGTACATTCAAGGAAAAATATGATTTTCTGTTTCTAAAGCCTTCTGCATCATCACTACCTATATTATATATACGCACGCACGCACGCACGCACGCACTCACGCACGCACGCACGCACGCACGCACGCACGCACGCACGCACGCACGCACGCCCAAATTTATCCTTCTTCGAAATATTTACAAAGTTTTTTGAAAGTCACAGAGAATAACACAAAAAAAATCTATTGCAAAGTTGCGATAATCATGCGCGCCTTTTAACTGTTCTTAGAATAAAACAGTCAAATATACACAAAGGCAAGAACTTTTTAATTACTTTGCATAAGTAATTATCTGCAATATTTTGTGAAATATCAAGAATATTGTAGATGAACTATTTATGTTTTAATATAAAACAATTAACAAAATTGTACAGTGATAAAACGTTCCACAGCTGTTATAATTTCACAAAGACGATACCTATAACGTAGGAGCACATGTAGGTGATCATAAAAGAATGATTTATGAAAATAAAAACAAAAGTAAAAAAATTAGTTTTATTGGTGAATAAACGAATAGTCAATTTACTGCTGCTTTGCATCGGAATATGTCTTATTATTTTATGTTTTGCGCAATGTCGACGAAATCTCACAAGTATCTATTATACCTACAGCAGTCAAGACACGATGTCTTTAAACGAGAAATCTATGAGAATAATAAAACAGGAAATCTTTAGCGTCACATAGTCACATTCAATAAAACATATTGTTTTTGTTTCCCCTTACACATTTTCAAAATATGTATTGTTATTAAACTAAAATTTGAAAATATCATGTTTTTTAAATTGATAGAGGAGAAGGTGGTATTATGGCACTCCACTTACATTTTACACAATAACTTTGTTAATAATCAATATTTAAGTTTAAAACTTGACAATTACATTCGTTAAAATGTTGTTGAATCGATTCTGGATTCAAAGTTACGAAATATTTATTACTTAGGATACTATTAATAAAAATGTGGCGACATTGCACAATGACTCGAAGAAAAAAATTGGTGGTAATATGGCCTTCCATAAAAATAGCCTTAAAATATTAGTTTTGTTTAGAAAATAGTATTTGGTTACAAAGTTAACAAAAAAGTAAAACATTTTAAAATGTATGCAAATGTATATACATTCACATAACTTCTGCATATAAGCTGCCAAGTACTAAAAATCTCATTGTCAGTACTAAAAATAGTACATGTAATATAAATTATAGATTAACAGTAGAAACAATTGAACATATCAAATAATTATTTTGATATGAAAAAGAGGTCGTGAGTAATCAATGTCGATAGAGGGCCACATTAGCAAAATGCCACGCTATTGTTTAAATTTACATAACTCAAAAAATATATATATACAGTCAAATAAAATGTTAAATTGCAAATAACACATTCAAAAATATATATATTGTATATTCATGTGATAATACGCTCAAGTTTGAGAAAAATGAGGAAGTAAATGTAATTAAATGCTAAAATGTATCTCAGAAACGTTTTGAAATACTTGAAAGTAAAAATGCGTTAAATAAATGTTGGCTATTGAATATTGGTAATATTAGCGTCATGGTGTAACGGCGAGCTACTGAACTAATAATTCCATAGATAATCATTAGGATTCGCTATAATAGCGGAGATATTAAGGGAGGCTACAATATATACACTGGCCATAATACCATCTTCTCCTGTATCTATCCTACATACTTTATAACTATCAATATTCGTTCTTTCAATAGTATCTTTTAATTTTAACCTTAGAACACAATTGATATTGAAGGATACAATATTGTTGCTAAAATTTACGTACAAAGAAATAGGTTACACTTATTGATGCAACACAAGTTTTTCACACATTTCACACTTTTAATAAAATATTTGTAATCTAAACATTTATAGACACAAATAACTTAATTATTAACTAAAACGAAAGAAAGAATAACCACAAATTCAAGCCTGAAATGATATGGAATATGCAGT